TATTGACTGGGACACTGTATTGACTGGGACACTGTATTGACTGGGACACTGTATTGACTGGGACATTGTATTGACTGGGACACTGTATTGACTGGGACACTGTATTGACTGGGACACTGTATTGACTGGGACACTGTATTGACTGGGACACTGTATTGACTGGGACACTGTATTGACTGGGACACTGTATTGACTGGGACACTGTATTGACTGGGGCACCCGAACATCGGATATTTATTGTTAAAACAACGACTTTCAATTCCGTGTAAAAAATCAAGGTTACGTTTCACTAGTCTATACTGGACAGCTTTCCGTAGCGACGTGAAAAAAACGCCTATCCGTACCTTTTAGGAACGCTTTTCTCAGAGGAATTATTGCAACAGAGAGATGTTTCGCTCAGCTTCTGAAAGTTGTACATTCTGTATCGCGCCGCTACGGAAAGCTTTCTGCGGTATATAGTATAAACGTAGCCTAGGTCTCCGCTAACTCGTGAAAATATGTGTTGCGTGACCGAAATATACGATTCTTGCAACACTGTCAATGAACATCTTCAGTTGTACAGGATGAGTAAAAAAAAACTGACACCTTTGTTATTGAAATTAGCCGCGAAGGTATCAATTTTTTTTACTCACCCTGTATACAAGTTATAATTTGGGGTTGCATTGAATCAAACGTTCAATTGTGTTAATACAAAGTTATTACGTCAGATATCACTAGGCATGTAATTACTCCTTTGTCTCGTGTTCACAACGACAATTTGTTAGTCGGTATCAATTCTTGCTATTAATATTATACACACGCAATTGGCTCCCGTCCACACGATGGGAAACACGGGTACCTTCATTCATGGAAAAAAACGAAGCTTTGAAAACGGAGGCGTTTTGAATTAATGCCGGGACGGGCGAAAATGTTTCTGAAACGCTGACGTCATGAACATACTCGCGTGCGTGGCGAACGTGCTCGAATCAGTTGTGAGTGCTTGCCTGATGATTGCATGTCTCAAACTATAGTCATAGATGTATTGTTTCAGTTAATCTGCAGGAAATAGCTTACGAAGCCAACACAATGCTCTGCACTGTCCTGGGTTATCTTTAGTCGTCCTCAGACGTAAATAGACAGATTTAGATCGAGGACACGGACGTCAAAGACGACGTGAAAATGGCGTGTTGTGCCCATGTATGGATAAGCCACGCCATTTTGACGCCAATTTCACGTCGTCTTTGAAGTCCGCGTCTTCGATCTAAATCCGTCTATTATAAAGCAAAGCCGTACCTATCTCGGTGCTGAAATAAGCACCCAAATATTAGTGTGTTCAAAGATTATTTTGATTCACAAGATTATTTTAATAATGTATAATTTTCTCGGGGGAGGGGGTTGCCCCCCCCCCACATGCGTACGGCCCTGTTCCAAATCCCATATAAAACGTTATCGGAAATTTGAACCAATCTGGTTTAATATTTTGTATGCCTACGTTTCTTTGGTATTTCGAAATCTCAATCCTTGAGATTTATGAGGCAGATATGGTGCTATTGGTGGCCATGTCGGAGGAACACGCTCTAAATACAATATCTGTTGATGATATTCTTTTATAAGCGTTCCTTCAATATGGCCGGCCATGACATCTACTGTAAAATAGCCAAGACATGGACGTTGACGTTACTTGTTGTCACTGAATATTGCGTGGAAAACGAAATACATATATTGCTATTTATTTTAACATTGGTTTTATTTACACACTGGCAATTTCTTTTAATTGTACTCTTATTATCTCGTGACAATGATAGTACTGTAGCTAGAAAGGAGTGTTTATTTATCCAATTAACAAAGAAAGGTGCACGAAAGCCAATACAGATACGGATGTTTAAACTTGACTATCTAAGCAACAGCAATCATGATAGGATTGTCGTGAGGTGTGATGTCGGGGGTGGAGTAATTCGGAATAACCAATAATACAATAAAAATATAACATAAGTAAGATCTTTGTTACAGGTCAGGTGTCGGTTGTACGAAGGCTGGATAGCACTGTCCAGTGGATAGTGATTTTTTCAACCGTTGTAAAAATCCTTTGATAAAAGTGATAAAAGTACAAATATGGTATTTATGGATAAAAGGAAATTGTAAACTTTTACATACTCAGTGCCGTCGGAAGCCAAGGACTCAACCAAGGGGGGCCTGCGGGCATGCTCCCCTAGACTTTGTTTCCGTGAATTTCTTGCATTTAGGAATTCAAGATATTGTACTGCACTTTTTACAACTTCATGCCCCAGTTTTGAAAGAAAGTATGCAATCACAAGCATGAATGAATCACAATATTAATGTAACAACAAACTGTTCATATACGTAAGTTGATTGATTGATAAGTTGATTGTGATTGCCTGTTCAAGAAGAAATAAAGTATGAAACGAAATACAATATTCATGGGTGAGGAAATTATTACCCCCCCCCCCGGCTTCCGATGGCCCTGCTGGGTTATACCCATATTGAAATGTTCATTTTCGGAAGATGGAAGAGGTGTTAAGTTAAATGGCTATGTAACAAACCCTACCCCTACTCTAACCCCTAACCTTAACCCCAATTCAAACCAAAATAATAAAATAAATCCAAAAAGAATCAAGTTTAGAAATTGATCAAATGACGTAACGTCAGTTTCAATAGTTGGAAACGAGTGAAAACCTATTGAAATGAATGTTATACCAGAAAGCGCTATCGGGCATTCTCGTACCCTGGTTCCAGAGGCTCTTTGCGAGGCGAAAGCCTCTGGAACCAAGGTATAGCATTCTCGTACCACCGGTCCCAGAAAGTTCACGCTATCAGATTATATACACCCGCGGACAACAGTTTGAAATGTTGCCAGCACAGAAACCATTCATCATGTCTTTCCGATATTAGTTTCGTAGCAAGGTACAAGCGTTTTCTACTAATTCAATGGCATCTTGTGCTTTCACTGGATGACTGTAGGTGGTGATCAACATGCCATAGGGAAGGTTGCATACGATCAAACCACTTTGACGATTCTCGCTCATACAATACATGCTACAAAAAGTAAAGCAAATTTTCAAGTTTTAGTCGGGGATGGCAGGAAGGTGCTAATCAAGCCTGGGTTTAGTCGTGACGCCCCCCCCCCCCCAGTGAATCCATCTCTGGTGCCAGTGATGATCCGCCCTGATTGGAAATAAATTGGAATGTTCCATTTTTAAAAATTTGTATTGCTTTCTGTGCCATCTAGTCCCCTGCTTGAAAAGGGATCCATTGATATGTCCAATGCGTGGTTGTTTCTCATTGTAATTCCCCAATGCATTATGGAAGACGCTTTTGAAAACTTTCCATCAACAAAATGTACATTTGACATACCTACATAGGGACTTTTTGTAAACTTTGTAATGTACTTTGAATCCTTTGATATTGTCATGATCTCTTTTGAGAGTGAATCCTTTCTGACAAATAGCTAGTTCTAAACATTAGAAACATAATTTGGAGAGGTGTTGAATCAGTTCCATTTCTGAAGAGTACCATAGCCATAGGGTTCATATTGTACTTGGAAGCTGCCCCATGAAACCTGGAGACTCGTTGGGAAACCATGAGACTTGGCAGCTCTGAGAAATTGTAAGAGAATTTGCAAGCTTAGGACAGCTCTTCCTAGTCCTAGAGTTATTTTTTGGTGGGAGGAAATAGAACAACTAAATATTTGAAGGTTTTTTATAGATGGAAATTTGCTGCAGAAGATTATGTGAGTATAGTTTTCGACCTGACCAGGAGTAGGCTGGTAGCTGGCAGGAATCGAACTTACATCCCTGCAATTCCTGTGCAGTGCTCTAACCAACTGAGCTACAGAGTCCAGTTGTCAAGCTCAAACCATGGTGGGTGATATAGTATAACCACAGTGAGTGGGTGACGCCAGTATTAGGTGTAACATATGTCTAGCTTGTTATGCATGGCTTGCATGAAATCCAACAAAATCCCAAATGGCCTTTTCATCAATTTTAATTGGTGTACAGCATTGCATCGGTTTACCTTGGTTTTCTGTGATTGAATTAAATACACCTTTAAATTGCTTGCATTCATCCTTAAGAATCATATGAAAATATTTGGTACTTTAATTTTTCTTTAGATACAGATAAATCCATACACAAAATTTAAAAAACAGTCACTTGAACATATACTTCGTCTATTTTAGGTCCCCAGCAATAAATCTGCTCTCCATATGAAGTTATTAACAAAATACCATCAAGAGTATTTGCATACAGTAGATTATCTGAAAGAAATGTTAAATTGTAGCAGTATTGATACATAATACTTGGGGAGGCAGAAGTGCCATTTAGGAACTGGGAGGTGGGGGTTAGGGTCACAAACCCCAGATTTTCCCTAATGGTAACATAGAGATAGTACTGGTAACTAGTACTTGGGGAGGTAGATTAGTGCCATTTAGGAACTGGGAGGTGGGGGTTAGGGGTCACATCCCCCCAGATTTGCCCTAATGGTAACATAGAGATAGTACTGGTAACTAGTACTTGGGGAGGTAGATTAGTGCCATTTAGGAACTGGGAGGTGGGGGTTAGGGGTCACATCCCCCCAGATTTGCCCTAATGGTAACATAGAGATAGTACTGGTAACTAGTACTTGGGGAGGCAGAAGTGTCAATTAGGGACTGGGAGGTGGGGGTTAGGGTCACATCCCCCCAGATTTGCCCGAATGGTAACATAGAGATAGTACTGGTAACATAATAATAGACCTGACCATTTATTGCACTCCTGTCCCAGTGACCTCGTTTTTCATGTGGGATTTATCCTCATTTCATGCACAATTTAGGTTTAGGGAAGTTTATTTTAGTTTATGCCGTTAAGCATGATGAAACCTATTTGTTGACGCTTCCTTACCCTAGTAATGCCCCTATAATTGTGTTTGCCTGTTGAGTTTACATGCATGCTAGGGTTACCGGTTACCCTAGTGGTATTCCATGTAAATAGACCCGGGCCCATCAAGGTAAGAGCGAATCAGGACCCATTGCTATTTAAAGCAATTAAAGGTTAAATGAATTTATTAAATACTATAAAACTGAAAATAACTCTAAAGTAGACACAAGTGGCATTGCTATTGACTATAATTACCTTGAACAAATCTTTCCCAAGAAGACCCCGAATTTGTATTCATTTTTAACTTACATATTTTTTGAAAACATGAAAACGATCAAAATTTAATACTTAAATATGGTGAGTTGCCTGTTTGCAGGCTAGATATACCACATCCCTAAACTCTGCGGGAAATGCAGGCAGGAGCTCGAGATGCATTTTCGGTTTTGGTGAATAAAAATAACAATATATATATTTCATATCAAATTATTTTGGACAGAAAATTAAATAAGGTTGCTTAGTTGGCATGTTGCGAGTGCTTTTGGAGGGGAAAAAAATTGTTCAACACTCAAAAAGTCAAGCCTTCGGAGAGATTTGAACTCTCGACCCCTGGTTTACTAGACCAGTGCTCTAACCCCTGAGCTACGAAGGCCCACGTCATGCCTGCTTAGAAAAACCATATATATAGATTTCAAACCAATACGTATGAATCATCGAAATGACAGATACTTTATATGGTAATATCAATATATCATTCATGTCTTGATATACTTTTAATCCCTTATCACAGACCCTTATTCTGTGCTTTTAATATTTTATTTTAGCAATGCAGAAAGATAGTTTTGATGCCTTATTCAATTCACCAGACGAAGTTGATATTGAATTGAAACAGAGTGGGGAAGAAATATTCGTGTCTAATGGAGGAAGACACCAAATCCCTGGTTAGTATATTAAATAGCATCAAAGGTCAATTAATGTTTACATTATACATATTTTATCTCGGTATAGAAAAAGCTCGGTTTTTTGTTAGTTGGCTGAGCAGTGGATATCACAATTATGATATTAATCTCATGTTTGTTAATACAATGTCAATTAAGCTATAATATTTAATATCCATTAAATACCATTGGTGAAAATGGGATGTTTATGTACCACCCCTCCCCTTCAACATCATTTTATCCCCCATGTTTGGTATGGGTGTACTTTGTTAACCCATTCAGTGCCAGCACTCTTCCCTTGACATGAAACTTTTTCTGGCATCATGAAAGATGAAAGAGTAAAACATATGATAGAGTAGGGACTCGGTAGGCAGTAGGGTGCATCAGGGCCAGTGTGGAAAGTTTGTATTGCACGGCGGATATCTCCGGCGCGCAATTTTGATGCTCTCTATATACTTACTATTAATTAAATTTTCGAAATCTCCGCCGTGCAATTTCCAAACTTTCCAGTCAGGTATCAGGGGCCCGTCGACAAATAGATTTCGTCCACCGATCGCGGACTTGTTCCGCAATTGCTTCAACCCCCCCCCCCCCATCGCAGACCAATCCAACAATTTTTTAGCCAGAAAATTAAGTTTTGTCCTGATTATTTTGTACTTGCAGATTCAAGGCTCTCCTTCCCATCATGGGTGGACAAAATCTATCTGTTGACGGTCCCTTAGGGTGCAACGCAACTTAATTTTATCAGCTTTTGAAAAACTGGCTGCAGGCTATTTTCCTCCTCCACCAGACAGCAGCTGTTTTACATACTTGTCAAATAGTTAACTTTCTGCATACAGTATTATTACGTAAACTATTTTCTCTGCAGAGAAATATGTATTACATGGCATAAATGGTCAAACATTTCATGGCTCAGGGCTCACAACTGTAAATGATGTTCAGAAACATGTTATTAAAAGCCAAGAATCATATCCACTTACGTTGAAGTTTAAAAAAAGAAGTGGCGAAGCAAAATGTATATCACAACATAGTCTGAAGGTATTTATATACCCATCAAGCTGCAATGTGCCCAATGCACAGACTTTTACTTTGTCAATATTATTGTAAATTTGTTAATATTTCAATATTAACCACACAGCTTCCAGTACCAGAAGATTTCTTTGGAGATTATCCAGAGTTAACACCAGAGGAAGTTGATGAATATGTTAATTTAGCACATTCATGGGTGGACGGCCTTCTGGAAGCTGAAAATTGCACACAGGTAAGGAATCTAAATTGAAAGAAAATCTATTGAGGTCTGTGTTCTGTGGCTGTTGTGCACACGGCAGAAATTACGACCTTGTACTCAGGATCCCTGTGTTTAAAGGTTTACCAGAACCTTTAAACACAGGGACCCTGAGCATGAGGTTGCAGAAATTAAGGAGCAACAAGGGGTGTTTAGGGAATTCAAAATCGAGGCGAAGGGATAAACTAGGGAGTTACATAGTAATTTTACCTTCCAGAAAGCAGTCGGATGACTTATTACAGTATGTCACCCAAAGTTTTCATGAAAGATTTATTCCTAGCAATTTAATATATACATGCAACATGAGTGGATTCACTGGGGGGGGGGGGTTAAACCCCCCTAGAATCTCTCTAACCCCTCTTATAAATTAGTGTTCAACCCCACCAAAATTTTGCTTTGCCCCTCCTATTTTGTGTGAAAGTCTTTAACCTTAACGCCTAACCCCTGTCGAAGCTCGCTCAGTCGTGCTGCTCGCACCCCACCAGAAATGTTTCTACCCCTCCTTTAAACGAGAAATGTTTCTACCCCTCCCCTAAAATCTGCCCTTGATGCGCAATAGAAATTGAAACTTAATTCCCAATTCGTCATGATATCCCATTCAACAGGAATTCAACTTTGTATGCACAAAAGATGGCGTTGATATTTATCAAGGAAAGGTCCCCGGCAGTAAGGTATGTTAAGCTTTAAAAGTTTATGAAATAATTAAACCATCTAATTTTGGGAATCATAAAAAAATGTAACAATTATTAAATGAGGTTGAAAAAATAATTAACAATTATTAAATGAGATTGAAAAAATAATTAACAGTTTTTAAATGAGGTTGAAAAAATAATTAACAATTATTAAATGAGGTTGAAAAAATAATTCACAATTTTTAAATGAGGTTGAAAAAATAATTAACAATTATTGAATGCGGTCATGCAGATCAAGAATTCAAGCCTGACGTTTGTGTTATCAACCGAAGCCAAAGGTTGTTTGGCAGTGTTTGGACTCTAAAACTTTCCCCATCCCCCAAAAAAATACTATTAAAAAATTTAAAAAAAAACTACTAAAAATTTAAAAAAAAACACCCTCCCGCCTCTGAAAATTTGTGAGAGTGTGACGCTAACCAAGTATTTTTTTAATTTGGCTAATGTTATTTTTCCAGGGTTTTTTTATTTGCCTAATGTTATTTTTCCAGATTTTGTTGGTGAAAAAATGTAAGAAAAGTTTAAAATTATATGTATAACTTACAAGTTATCACTTATAATTTCAGATTCATTTAATTCGAGGTAAATCAAAGATCCGAGCAACGAAAGAAGAAATGAAAGCCATGATGATAGCACCTTCTTCTGACACGTTCCGTAGGCTATTTCACATGATTGGTATGAAACTTTTTGTTTTTACTTAATTGACTCGGCAAAGAACAAGTTTGTCTTCAATCTGGAACGGGGTCAAAAAAGATTTCAACCATTATTTTCCCCATTTACCAACCACCCTCCCTCCCATACCAGGTGATTTGAAAACACAGAAAAGAACTGGGACTAGTTGTAAAATAGAAATCCATTTTTCGATTAAAACTACTTAATATCTCGTGAAATATATCATACTTTGCTTCCAAATTTAAAATAGACTTATTTTTCCCACTACTAAGCATAATTACAAAGTTTAAACTAGTTTGATAAAAGATAACGAAAGATACTAGTGTTTAAATAAAGCAAAATGGATTTCTATTCTGCTCTTAGTTCCAGACCTTTTCTTCACGGTCAAATCAGCTAGAAATAGTGACCACTCCCTTAATCATTAATATGTGGATTTTCATTTTTTTAAAGATGCTGTAAAGTCCGTTCTGCGCATATATTCTGCGCATCAACACATTCCATCAGTGGGGGAGCAACCTTTGGAATGTTGTTAAAATTTCGCACCTTCCGAACTTTCTTGAATTGAATCTGTAGTCTGCATTCATTTACAAGCATAGCGAACCGGAAGAGTCTTAAGAATTCAGTGTAATATATATCTAATCATATTTTACAACTGTAGCACTGAGTTCAAAATGCAAACAAAGCGTTTGTTTACATTTAATACGGACTTTACATCACCTTTAAAAGGAGGAGTGGAAAAATTTCTAGTGGGGTGCAAGTGGCACCCCTGAGTGAACTTCGCAGGGGTTAGGCATTAGGGTTAAAGGCTTTTACACAAAATAGGAGGGTACGTGAAGCGAAATTTCGGTGGGGTTGAACACTTTATAAGAGGAGTTATATACTATTAGAGAGATTCTAGGAGGGGTTAATCCACCCATGTAGATAAATGCAATCTCTGAATACCTACCCAACGTTTCGATTCTGGATTTTATTGTATTTACTTCCCAAGGTGTTTCGCCAGTGTATAAATTCTATATAAGAATTTTTCTTTTTCTAGACGGCAATTTCTCAGACGGTTTGATGTTGCATAAGTTCCCAGAGGACTACAAGCATCCAAACACGCCTGTCTATGCCATAAAGTGGGCAATATTTGACTCCCCGGGGCCAGTGAGTGCGCGAGATGTGTGTTGGTTGGAGTATGGTGATATCAGACTTGACGAACATGGTAACGAATTTGGATTTGGTGTGGTGAGTATGGATGCCATCACACTGTCTGACCTTTAGGTTGGGTTATTTATCCACCTAACATATTCTGGTTAATGAAGGATGTCCTGGTTACATTAATTAGACTCTGGTAGGAAATGAAAAATAACCAGGAAATTAAATAGGGTTATTTTAACCATGATGTTTTTAGAGTGTATTCTTCTATTTCTAGGCGTCATCTATACTCCGTCCAGAATGTCCTGAACTTAGTAATCTGTGGTTAATCCGGGCTGAGATGCTCTGTTCTGGTTATGTATTTAGACGAAGTAAAGACCCAGAAGTTTTAGATGTAAGTTGTGAATTCAATTTCACATTGAAATGTTGGAAACGGCTGCTAGTACGCTTCGATAGATATATGAGATTTTGTGCATGTATAGAATGTTAAAAGCCATTTTTTCAATCTTTCAAGTCAAAGTGAAGAAATTTAAAATAAAAGCCCACCATATCCTTTTCAGTGCATAATTGCCCAGGTGCTTCAGAGAAGAAAAGATAATTGCGCTACTGGCTACTATATAGAGATCAGGGCGAGCGCGCAGGGGTGCTTGGGGAGGACGGGAAAGCTTTCTCCGTCTCTTCCTCCCCAAGCGCCCCTGCGCGCTCGCTCAGCTTAGCCACTGATCTCTATATAGTAGCTTAGCGCGGTCATATATTTTTCTCTAAAGCGGCTGGGTACGAGGCCGTGTGAACGTCATTTTACTTCCAGGTGACGTATGTGATCCAAGCAGATCCCAAAGGATGGCTTCCTGTGTGGGCAATAAATATGTTCGCATGGCAACAAGCTTTGAATTTAGCAAGAATAAGATCTACTTGTGAGGTATGTCACGATTTAATGAATTCAAAAGGTAATATAATTTATCATTTATAGACTCGGAGCGAGGGGGATTCGGCGAAATATTACCCTGAGTGATGATATTTCCCGAGAGGCTTTATATGCCCCCTTCAAGTGGCAATGCGCTCTACTTTATTATTTTACTCTGTCTAATGCTAGACGACTTTAATCGTCAGGTGGAGAGTGCTGCCACTGAATGGATTAATAATGACTTCTTTCGTTTCAAAGGGTATAGTAAAAGCAATGAAAAAAATTGACCAACAACATAACAGAAAAGAAGGTATTTTTAACCTATTGAGCATTTTCCTGCAATTTCAGGTCACAAAGCTTTTCAATATGACGTCGTATAAAGTCACAAGATCATGTCATAATAATATGACGTCATAATATGACGTCACGAGTGTTTAACACAGAATTAGAACATTGATAGATTGAAACAACATTGATAGATTGATTGATAGAGATGGATTTAACGTTTGTAAATTAACGTGGTTTTTAAAACCACGTCAAAGCAGCGTCGATGTTAAGTTGTAGATGTCGCAATCTTTCGACTTCTTCTACTAAATGCGACGTCGAATGTGTGACCGCTTCGATGTCCCGTAACTGTAATACGTTTTTAATACTTTTTTAATACGTTCTAGCCCCAGTTCAAGGCGTACTGATCTCTCACGGTCAGTCGTATGATGTTCATATTACGGTTGAAGCAAGCGGTACTTTAATATTTGGTTTTTGTTCAGAAAATCATAACCTTGGGTACGTGAGTGTTTGTATTTGTTTTAGTTTGGTTGCGTGTTTGCTACTGTCAGACCTTGACCCAGTGAATGCCTGAGCCAGACTTGTTTGTTGATAACTTGCCCACCAGAGCATTTCCCATGCAAATCCTATGAAACTTTCAATCTTAAATTGAATGCCATTTCTTCCATATTGCTACTTAGGCTTAGCTTGATTAGCCCTTATAGTTATTTCTTTGTAGCCTTTACTCTATATTTGTATATATAATGTATTTTGTTGTAAATTATAGTATTCACGCCAGAGTATTAATAAATTATTTGTTTGTTGTTGTTGTTGTTGTTGTTGTTGTTGTTGTTGTTGTTGTTGCTGTTGCTGTTGCTGTTGCTGTTATATAGGCTCACACTTTCCCCTTTTACTAATGTTGAGGAGCTCTCTTCATTTTCTTCATTTCGTATCTTTTTCAGTTTTCAGTTAACAGGAGTCCCCAAGAGTAATCCTTGGGCGAAATATAAACGCTATGAATGTCACGTAAATCCTGTCTATGGCAAAGTAAGTGTTATTAGGGGCTGTTCATATGAGTCTATAGCCGGAAAGATTCCTACACTTGGTCAAGTTCAAATTTGATTGTCTCGAATACTTTTATGTAAATTATTAATAAGTAATAGCATGGTTTCTCGTGAAATTTGAATAAACATGCACTCGTGAGTTTTTTCGAAAAGCTCAAATGGCACTTAAGCCTATGTTTAGTTTTGTTTGCACGAACCGACTTTTTGATCACATGAACAGACCTTTTGATCACATGAACAGACCTTTTGATCACATGAACAGACCCAAATAGTGCTATCTCTATGTTAACCAGGAAATTTTGAGTCGGTATTTACATAGCCGACTCAACGCTCCACAGAGCGTCTTGTTTGCCATTTTTGATTGATCTGTCTTCCTTATGTTTCTCAGGTGTCACTGGAGAAAGGACAATATGCGCTTCACTTGGACAATACATTTAGTTGGTTACGATCAAAACATGTCTACTACTGGTACAAAGTATTTTGACTGAGAATGGTAATGCAGCAATTGAATGTTCAACATTGTCGGTCCAAACTGAATATCCGCGGGTTCGGAGACGTACCAATTAATGATGGATAGTGATTTTTTCAACCGTTGCAAAAATGCTAAAAATGTTATAAAATTAACAATAATAATAAATAATTTATTAATTTATAAAGCGCTAATGATGGATATGGACCTCCCAATTAATAAAAAGAAACTTTAATTTATTAATGCTAATGTTTAATCAGGCCTAAAAAATATACTTGTGGTTCCGGTTTCATATCGTGACAAAATTAGGGTCGGTAGGTTGGAAATAATTTTTTTTTGTCCCAGAGAGTAATTGTTTTCCACCCCTGCGGCTGACCCTAATCTAACCCCGACCCTGACCTCTAACCCTATATTCGACCGGGACGTCGTTGTTAAATAGCCAGGCTATGTTAGGTGGTAAATTACCAAGTAAATTACCAACACCTGGTTACTTATCCACCTGCCATAGTCTGGTTGATTCAACCAAGAAATCCTGGTCAGATTAACTAAACTGTAGACTCTAGTGCAGTATAGTGGGAAAAAGATTAAAATAACCAGCCGGAAATTTAACGCAGATAGGGTTATATCTGTGTTAACCAGGAACATTTTAACCAGAGTGGTTTTAGGGTGTATGTTTCCATTCTAAATTTCGAAGATCGGACAGTGATTTTTTCCGCATTTTTTGTACTAATGCTTTAAATGCTGTAAAACTACGGATATCGAACTTAAAATAAAATAAAAAGAACTTTAATTTTACTATTTGTTGTGTCTGTATGTTGTGTATGCTTTGAATTGTCAATTTTAGTATTATGCAGCGCGTTAAACAGTAAAAACTCTTTGCTCTGTAGTCAGTTGAACATTTTTAATCCAACTGACGCGACTAATTCCTAAGTCGTTTTAACTTTTAATTAGAATTTTCATGTACAATTTTGACAATTTATGCAGTTTTAATATGTTTGTACGAATACGATGCATTCTAAACTCCCAGAGGTACACGAAGTTTGGGTGTTTACAACAAAAGGCTGATTTCTAAAGTTTCGGGTTTTTGAGACACCTGTTTCCGCTGGTACGTATATTGCATAGGAGGCCTGCAACACCTGTAGCACCCTGAAAGCGGGTTTAAAAGAGCGGGAAAATATATTGAATGTTTTGGCACAGAGGATATACTACACAGAGGTGGAACTCAGCCAAAAAAGTGTAACCGGCCGCCAAAAGCTTAGCCAGTGCGCGAAAGAGAGGCATTCACCCCCCCGAACTCAAATTTCAAGATGGCGCCCGAGTGTTTCAGAAAATAATCGGCACGAGAAACACTTGTTATTTTGCTCATAACAGTTTTCCTTTACTGAAGTTGTTATTAACATGTTTATATAATTCGTCCTTGAAAGATGTGTTGGTATGAGAAACCTTTGAAGATTATCTACCGATTTATATGGCACTGTTATTCATCGTAGGAGTGGTCGAGTGGAAAATTGAAATTCCGAAATTACCGAGAAATTAATACTCATGTGAGCCATGTCTAAAGGATTTAGAAGAAATGTAAATGGTATAATAACTTATGCGCAGCTGGATATCGTTGTATTTAATATTTTGTGAAATACTTAGGCAGAAATCAGTCAAGATTTCACTATTTGAAACTATAGCAGTATATGGCACCCTGTTTATAATAGTGATAAAAAGCATAAAATGTGAGGGATGTTGGTTTTTTACATTTCAAACACGCTATATTAAAAAAAATATGATGTACATAATTCATATTTCACATCGTTCAGGTTGCTGTTCTTTAAATGAATTTTGATTAGAGTTTCTGAATGAGATGCTGAAACAATGTGAAAGTTGGGTATTCTTTACTTTCATGTGTTGTGATGCAACATCTCGGCACATGGTGGTCAACTCTAAAAGGAAACACAGTTACCGGTGTGAGTAATTTTTCACTATATGTCTTGACCTCATGTTTGCTGCCGAATACATGCAATTTAGCCTCATTTGCTTGCTCCCGAAGTCATTAGTGTTGATACATGTAATGTTGACCACCATGTATAACCCTATGTATAACACCTTGATGTTACCAATTGTTTACATCAGAAGGTACATATGTGCATAACAGACTTGACCGTCTGTTCATCTCTAACCCATTGAGCACTGATGCGCCCTATTTTATTATTTTAATCACAGGGCCGTAGGTTCAATTCCTACCAGAGGACCTTGTGCTGCATTTTTCGCAGTCGTTCTGGTCAGGTCTTAAAATGTATATAATCACTTGGATTACAAAC